GTTCAACATTCCTGGCCGACTCATATTGAATACTGAGTTCATACGTGCCGTTGATATTGAGTACTAGACGTTGCAAGCTATGGGTAGCGAGTACACGGTGCCTACATACATGATGGAGTGGGTCGTAGGGATGTGGCCGAGTGTCGGGGAAAAGTCATGAGAGGGTTGTACGCATCTGTACATTCCCGTGTGTGTCAATCATCACTACATTGCAGTGGAGATTGTATTTGCCAGCTCGACTATATATGTGTATGACCCCGATCATTCATACCTAGCACAAGGTTAGCTTGAGAAAAATTTGGAGTCGGTGTCTATGATCGTCCCCATGCTGGCTAGACGAGCGAACATTACTGTGCAGGACAGACTAGCCATCGTGCAGGACACGACAACGGCGAGACAGCAAATATCGTAAGTGTTTATTATTTTATTTTTGTAATTTACAACTTACGTTCTAGTTAGAATATTTTGTAAGTACTAATACGATATTTTGTAATTGTAGAGGTGATTGCGGCATATTCGCTATCAAGTACATAGAATTTTTGAGTGTAGCACAGAAGGTTGACGCAATCAACCAGGCGTGGATACAAAATTGGAGAAATAAACTAGCTTGTGATTTATTTGAATTTAATGGTGATCCGTATATATTGAGTCGTGTTTCTTTAAAATAATTGTAAATATTATAACGTTTAAACAGTATATATTTCATTCATTCATTCTTTTGTAATTATGAAATAATTGTAAAACATATATTATTTTTTTAATATTTAAATTTTTTTTCTAGTTTATGTATTTATTTAAATGTTTCATGATGTATTTATAATGTTTGGGTATATTGTGGAGAAAGCACTGAGTTTTAAAAAAGGATTAACTTCAAAAATTACGCAACTAATTAATGAGATATTAAAATAAAAAACTAAATCTAATAATTAACATAAATAATGAACATTAAAAATATGTGTGGATAATTAATATCAATGTTATAAATAATGTTACATAAATTTCAATTATACATCTGTTACGTTGTTATGCAGAGGGATTTGACTTGTGCAAAATCTTCTAGTATGTCCTGTTGCACCACACCTGCCGCACTTACGAGGTCGGGGAAATTCTCCGATCGATGGTATTCTAGACGTACGTGTACATCCAGGAGTATGTGGGCCGACTGCTGGTGGCAACAAGTTATTCAATGAGAGAATATGATCAGGAACTTCCCACTCGACTTCATTCGGTACAGGAAATATGGTTTCGGCATATGCTGTTCTCCAAGAACCAACCATGTAATAAGCATTACATAAGGTGTGTGGTGGAATTCCTTTATACATAGCCACCGCCATTGCATGTGTACAAGGAAAACTCTCCAACTGAAACTGTCGACACGTGCACGTGTTATCATTTAAGTCGACGATGTATCCGAAATTACGTGCACATCTCGCGGAGAAGCGAAACTGATCTAGTGGTTCTACATATACCTTCCTTCCCACCTCTAGAGTCTTGAAGAGTTTATCTTCCTGAGCTGGGGTTAGCACACTTGTGCAACTCTGTGATTCCTTACGACGAATGTTCTCAAGCATTGCGAGAATTGGTAACTCTCGATCCTTCTTAAATAAGGCATTGAGCGACTCCGCATTGTTCGACATCATCATGTTGTATCGACGTCCTGGAAAATGTGATCGTGCCCAATGTTTGATCCCCATCTCCGTCAGATACTCCCATGCATCATAGGATTTACTTTCGATTTCAACCATAAACTTTTCAAACTCTTGAAAACTGTAAGCCTCTGCAGCTCTCCTAAACAATGTAACGATGCTCTTGCCTCGATACTTGGTCTTCAGATTTTCTTGTATATGGTACATATAATAACCATGATGTGCCTCGGGGAAGATTTCGACGATACCGTTAATTATTGACTGTCCTCGGTAAGATACGAATGCAAGGTTCTCAACATCCCCAATTACTTCCCTCAACTTCGTGAAAAACCAATGCATTGCCAAATCATTTTCTCCGTCAACTATGCCGAATGCAAGAGGGTAAATTTGGATGTTAGCATCTTGACACGTTGCAATAATCAACTTGCCCCCGTATCTCGCCTTGAGGGTTGTACCGTTCACTAGAATTAAGGATCGCATTGCGTTTCGAAATCCTCAAACGCATTGTCCAAGGACCATAAAAAAATACTTGAAGCGATTCTCGTCATCATTCTCAATAAAAAATGCTGATTCAGTATTAATTCTTCCCATGTTATAGCAAACCTAACCAATTAAATAAACAATAATCATAATTTAAATAATTAAATAAACAATATTAAAAAATGAAAAATTAACAATTGAATTAAATAATTAATTACACATTAGATAAAGATTCGATAAATAATTAAATAAACAATTGAAATTAATATTTGGCTAATTTAGCATAACTCTCTTCGGTCGAACCCATCAAGTCCTCCAACGCGCATTCTTTGGCCTTCCAAACCTTCTGATAGTTCATGATCACCCCGTACTCTCGACGAACGTCATCAATAATGTGCGAAGGTCTTTAAATTGTTCGTGGGTCCTGAAATTTGTGCATTATTTTTCGACCAATGAACCATGATCGGGCGTGCCTGTGATCATTTCAACGAATACTCACTTCACAAGTATGTTCCTATGCATACTTACGAACCACAAAGAACTCATTCGTGTCCATTTTCGTTACTCGTAAATGTCAAAGGCAACTGTCGTCAACGCAGACAATTGTGTAAGTCGACTTATTTGATTTCTTCACTTTAAACTCAAAATTGTGTTTCAAAGCAATCCGGTGAACAGCTTCTTGCAAATCTTTCTTCGTGTCAAACAGTTGCTCGATATACAAATTTTCATCCTCGGGGACTATACGCGAACAATTAGATGACCGTGCACTCGGTCCAGCCTGTGAGCTCCCGCTCGACGCATGTCTCAAATGGGATAAAGCAATCAAATTTTCATTTATAAAGTCATTATCTCTTTCATTGTCTTGAACTATCGAGCAAATTCTGTGTGTAACAGTGATATCATGGTGAGGAGCAACTGTCTCTGGAACAGCTACAACATCATCATGCATATTTCCACTGTGTCCCAAAATTCATTCACATTACGATCCCCTCGGTCGAAATCTACCTGTTCACTTTCGGGGACATTCTTCTTCATCAAAATTATGCAAAAAGGAATCGCACGTTTCTGATTCATTTCAATTAAAACCTTCATTTTAGTTTCAGGAGTAATCGTTATAGGTGGAATTGAAATGTATGTATTCTCACTCATTAGAAATTCCAATTCCATGGCGTACTCAGATGAATCAACTTTCAACAAGTTCTATATCTCATTGTACATTTCTGGATATGATGTACTGGATGTTATTACAATTGCAGTACAACCATGTCTTTCACTCGTCCATTTCCACACCCATTGATCATTGTCATTATTTTCAAAATCACCAAAGTAACAAATCGGGACAGCAGCTGATCCCATATCTGCATTATGAAACATTATTTAATAAAAAAATTATAATTACGAGAAAAAAATTTACGTTTAACAGCCGGCCCGGACAGTTTGGGCAGGCTGTTAGTAGCCGGACTAGATTGGGGCCGGTGGGCTGGCTGTTAAACATCCGGCCTGGACACAAAAATTCGGCTGTTTACATCTGCACAGATGAATTTTTTCTTCGTTTTGGCTAAAAATTTTTTTTTTTACATCCATTCAAGACTGTAATCTTTCATTTTTCTAAAATTATATGTTGAAATAAAATTTAAATATTCAAACAATGTACTAATTTAACTAAAATGAAATTAAACATACGTATTTATACTTACCAAATTCAAGTGTCGATTGTGAGTAATACTTTTTTGTTGAGCCTTTGATTATTTTTTGAGATTTCAATGTTCAAGCAGATGGAAGAGGAAATTTCTTTTTAATTGTGTTGAAAAATCTGATAGAAAAAGTGATTTCGTTTTGAGATTTAAGTGGGATCGTTTGGATTTATTATTTTTTTTAAAGAGGGTATTATTGTCTTTTGGACAGATGGTATGTTTTTGTAATTACAACACATAACAAGGATAAAATTGATATTTACCTTTCAAAAGACCATTTTGGTGAATGACAAAATAAGGTTGATCAATGTGAAAAATTGGTGTTTTGACTTGATTATTTTAAAAAGTACCCTGCGAGGCCGCCTAGTCAACAAAGAGGCCCAACATTCTCGTCCAATTAAATCGGCCCGAAACACGTCATGGTCGTACGTGTCAGTTCACCATTGGGCACACCCATAGAACCCACACTTCCATTATAACCCTCGCAGCACTCTATTACTCACAGAGTCATTGGTTTGGATTAGCTCACTTTCAGAGTTGGATCTTCAAAGAGACGAAAATGGCGAGATATTGGTCGCGGCAGTTACTACTTTTCGGTCTTATGTTCTTTCTCAGCCTTGTTGCCACTCAGGTTCTTGTTTTAACAGGAAATTTTCTTTTTTGATGTTTCTTGCTTCCGATTGGAATTATATTTTGTTTTCTGTAAATTTGATTGCTATGAAATTCATTGACTTGTGTTAGGAAGTGGAATAACTGTAGAATTTTACTGTTATTAGCTTATTTTCGTTTTTCGATCTGGTTTTGATCGATTTGATCTGAGGACAGAAATACACGACATCAATTTGGTTACTAGTTTTTCGATTGATCTGAATAAAATTTTCTTGAGATTAGTCCGGCGAGATCTTGATCTAGTTCTTTCGTATAGCTCAGAAAGCAAAATAGTGATTTCGTAAGTAAGCTGGAGGAAGTCGGCAAGACTGGTGAATCCACTAGGAAAACTGAATTCTGGCAGTTCGTGAGCCAGTACTTTAGTTATGGAGCCAGAAAAAAAATGTTTAAAAGGACTAGTTTGTCCATTTAATTGTCTAGATAGAGAATTCTGGGACTTCAGGGAAAAATAAAAAGAAAAGAGAGAGAGAGAGAGAGAGAGAGAGAGAGAGAGAGAGAGAGAGAGAGAGTTGAGATTGCAGGAAAACCAGCTGGTATGCTCTTAATCTCAAATCAATGATATATTTTTATGATATTGCATTATAATTTGAAAACTTTCATTCAACTCTTCTTTTTCATTGTAAAAGACCCTGGAAAGTCTTCTCTTTTTGGTTTGTGCATCTGGAAATTGTGATGCTTAAGTTTTGTTTATGTGTGTAATGCGTATCAGCGAAATTGACCATATTATTAGCGGAATGAGAGAGTGATATTTCTTGTCAAACTGATGTGAAGAGATTCTTACACTTGATTACTTTAAGATTTTTGCACAAGAGAGAAAATTAACGTTTCAAGTTGTTTAGCTGTTTGTGAATACTACATGGAAACATTGTTTATCCATTTTGGTAGAAGAGATAGTAGGATCTTGAAGAATTCCGAACATTCCAGGCTCTCGATAGACATCACATCTAGTGCTGGATTTGCATCACAGGATCCCGAAAACTTCAAAAGATACAAAAATTTCTATAAAACTGAACTTTTCTCAAAATCAAATCTTCATATGATTTATGTAGTCTTATCTTGCCATATTTTCCAAGTATGTATTTCCAAATTGGAAACTAAAAATTGATAACTAGATCAATTCCAAGAAACTTGGAATTACTGAAAAAAATCACTTGTCCATTTTAAGCTCTTAACGTTCTGGAAATTATGAAGAGCTGAAATGTACCCAAAACCTCTTTTCTGACATGCTAAATACAAAGATTCAAATCCTTCTCTCATCTTTTCATGATCGTTATATTGCCTGCCTCATTCTTCCTCAGCTGGAGAAAACTCATTGCTTGTTTTTAGGCTTTGGGGGTTAGAATTCATGATTTTTGAACTAGTCGCCATTACTTCGCACAAGATTTTGTATGCATCTGCCATCACTACCTATGAGACAGCGACAAAAATATAAGGATAATTAGCTTCTTTCTTGTAACCCGAAATTGTCTGGAATAAAGTTTTCCAGTCTAATTATTTGAATCCTTTTTGTTTGGGCAAGGTCACCTTTACCTCCCCAAAAAAAAACAGAAAAAAAAATTAATTGCCAGTTAAAATATAAGCATGAGTTGATAAGAGGAGAGAACAATTTGGTTCACGGGTGTCACGGTGTATGCTGTCTAAATAGGAAACTTCTTCTATCCAAAATAGTTGTAATAAATATTTTGAATGATTCCTCATATAACTCATTTATTTGACATGTGGCTAGGTAACTGTTGAAAGTGATACAAGTCAAGCGGATAATTATTGTTTCTTAGTGTGTTTATCATTGCAAATGTCATGATTTTTTTTGTCTGAAATTTTTATTAAGGGCAAGCATAGGAAAAATGAATTCTCATCCCATAACTACCAATTTAGGCTGACTTCATTTTAAAATTTACTAATAGATTCTCGTGATCTAATTTTTTGCTAGGTTTTGTAGTTTTATTCACCCTAATATATCAAATGCGCTCTCTGTTCCAGGGCGTATTGTTATGGGTCTCTTTGGAAAAACTGTGCCGAAGACAGCAGGTATTCTGGTTTTATTAGATGAATTTTGATAGAACTCGTTTAAGATTTGATGTTCTGGGAATTAATTTTACCACTTACTTTCTCTTGCAGAGAACTTTAGAGCTTTGTGTACAGGTATACTCACCTCTGCTTTGGCTGTGTTTTTTTATCCAAGTGGCTAGCACCGTTCTGAATCATTTAATTGGATAGATGAATATTCTCTTACTATATCACACTAAATGTTTTATACTAGTATAATTTTTTGGCTGCCTTTCCGTTCAGCATCTTCACAAACGTGTTTTTATGCATTCAGGGGAGAAAGGCACTGGAAAGAGTGGGAAGCCTCTTCATTACAAAGGAAGCACATTCCACAGAATAATACCCAGCTTTATGCTTCAAGGCGGGGACTTTACTCTTGGTGATGGAAGAGGCGGGGAATCAATTTATGGGGAGAAGTTTGCTGATGAAAATTTCAAAATCAAACATACTGGACCTGGTAGGAAAACTGCCTATGCCCAGAACCTCCCCTTCCCTAATACCATCTCACTCCATGATTTCAGATTTCTGAGTTTCACTGTGTGAAAGCATTTATTCTATTGTGTCATCTGATTATTTTTGTCCAATTTTCAGGGCTTTTGTCTATGGCAAATGCTGGCCAGGACACTAATGGTTCACAGTTTTTCATCACAACTGTGACGACCAGCTGGTAACTATATAATTTATGATCCTGCTGTTATGAGAAAACTGTCATCCATTTTCAGATCTTCTGTCTGCTGCTTCTAACAAAAGTTTCTTAACGTTCAACAGGTTGGACGGTCGTCATGTTGTATTCGGAAAGGTGCTGTCAGGAATGGATGTGGTATATAAGATAGAAGCTGAAGGCAACCAGAGTGGAACACCCAAAAGCAAAGTTGTGGTTGCAGACAGTGGTGAACTTCCCCTGTAATCAGCTTGTACTTGTACTTGTCTGTTTCTCCCATCTATTTACTCCGGATTATGCATCTTAATTTATGTACCTGAACTATGTTAATTCAGGAAAATGAAATATGTACCTTAAATGTACACTTTTCAGTTTGGCACTTAATATTATGAGTCCATATTGCCTGTAGAATATGTATCATTCTATTCTCAGGGCTGGAAAAATGTTAATGGGGTGGGGTGGGGTGGGGTAGTGTGGTCAAGCAACTCCACTGGTAAATTTCTACTTTGGGCATTCCTTCCCGGGCAGGTTTGGTTGACGGAAAATTATCAGTGTTGAGTACATGTAAGATGTGTTACATAATTTTGAAAGAAAAGTTTATTATTATTTTTGTTGAACTAAAACATCTGAAATAAGGGATCTTAAAAGTTTTTCCATTTTCTTCTATATCTAAAGAGTCAGCCGTAGTTACCCTCATAGCAAAAGAGTTTCTCCTTTTTCCCCTTTCTTTTGCAAGTCATCCAACAAGGTCAATTTCAACTCACGTGAGCCGAGCTAAGTGAGAACGAATAATGACTATTTCAATTTTAAACTCTTTATTATCTTGTAGTATAATCATATGAAAAGTAGTAAATTAGTGATTTTAAATGAGTAGAACTAAAACTAATTACACTTGAGATAAAATATTCTAGGTTGGATGGGTAAGCATGTTTCCCTAAGCTTAAGCTTGAAAGTAACTAATTCCAACAAACGATCAATCATAATTAAGGCCCCGTTTGGTAGGGATTTTTTGCCTCAAAAAATTGATTTTTTGACTGTTATTTTATTATTCAAGCCGTAATTTTTGACTTCTTCTCTCACGTGTGGACCCCACTTTTCTTCTAACGGTCAAAAAATCAATTCTCAAAATCCCTAACAAACGGGCCCTAAATCTTCCTGTTTCCTGACGAGACATATTCTATAGATAGTTTCCCCCCGTTTGAGCTCCATTTTTTCAAATTATAATGAGGAAAATAGTAATATTTTAGAGAATGTGTCGTTAAAAAAGAAGGAAGAGTTTGTAGGTTTGCGTGTAGTATTATTTTGTTGGAAAGTACGTGATTGATAAGGAGAGAAAAATGAATTTTAATTTAATGAGTGTCAAACAGGATTTATTTGTTTTCAATCTCCCATTTACCGATTTCTTTAGTTAATCATTAGAAGATCTGACTGAGCCTTGAGGCACTTCATGGGTCTATTATTATTATTATTATTATTATTATTTTGTTGATCAAGTAAATAAATTTGGATTGATCAAAATTGTGAGTATAACTGCTCCGAGAATACTTAGACGTTCAAAGTAAAACATTACAATGATCCAGTAATCCAAACCAAATGATTGAATATGAATCAAAACATTACAAACTTGGTTAATCTAGAACATGAAGTGTCAAACCATTAACGGTAACAAATTTTCAGAGTCTTGTCAATTTAACTTCAAGACAATGCAGGCCGAAATCCCAGCTTCAAGGAGTTTCCCATTCGAAAACTTGATCAATTGGCAACACTTTTTGCCATAATCGGGTTCCCAATGCTGCAAGAAGCAGTCAACAATGCCGGTAACTGCAGGGTACAATTCCTTTCCCAAACTAGTAAAACCAGCTTAACGATGATCCTGAATTTCAGGCTGCTGACCCAGTTTCAAAATTCTCCCAATCTGGAATAAAAGCTTATTGCAGCCTATCCTTCTAACACAATGTCGGCTAATATAGAGTGTATGCCATAGGTAGTAGTGGCCGGAACTAGCAAAAGGAGGCTGTCGGAAAATTCAATTCCAGGCTGTTTTTGAATTCACCTGAACTTGGATAGGGTTCTGCATACTGTAATATTGCTATGAAATTCTGATTTTTCAGAAACAGGCCTCTTTATTTTATATAACCCTTTTGTAGATTTTGAGGTACACTTCCCAAAGCACCACCAAAGAAGCTACCTTTGAGCGAACAATATTTGCAGCGAAACAATTGTATATAATTATGATAAATGGAGACTTAAATTTGGCAACGGGCGGGACAAGGCTGCTATTTCCATTCCTCCGCCTAGTCGAGTAATTTTGTCTTCTCAGCTATTTCCATTCCTCCGCCTAGTCGAGTAATTTTGTCTTCTCATCCTGCTCCCATACTCAATTAAAGTGGAACGAGGACGAGACATGCCCCCCCCCCCTCTCCCCGCCCTTCCTTTTTGCTTTTATTTTTATAATATTTTTAGTTTGTGAAAATCATTTTTTTTCCTAATTATATAAAAATCCATTTTCATCTAGAACTGATGATTTTTACTTTTTGAGACCCGTATCTCGAGGCCCATTTGTCCCCATCCCATTGCACCCTACCCTATTAGGCAAGGAATCCCAACTCCGTTCAAGATGGGACCACAGGTATTGAATATAACGAATTTTTTTGCCTCCCTACTTAGACCTTCATCTGATGCAATTTATTTTAACATACAATGCTCTCTGGAATGACAATTAAATTTCAAATTCTTTACAAGTACAAATAATTTAATGCAAATTTGCTACAAATAACTACATAGACCGCACCAAAAACATAAAATTGTGTCCGAAAGTGTACTTCGAATTTCTTGACCTCAAATACTACTTCAATTTCCGTTGTTGAATTGCCATGCACAGTACAGTTAGGATGTTCACCTTCAGTCAACTAAGGGTCTAATGCTCTATAGAGCATTTTTCAACATAATGTCCCATGGTACCCCAAGCCTTGCTCAATTAGAAAAACAAATTTGTCATAACAATGTTTACTAAAGATCATCGAAATTTTAAAAGCTATACAGACAAAGTGAAAGCCTACCAATACTTTTCTCATGTTCTCTTTAGACAAATTTATTGACACCACAAAACAACCTATCAGGCAATATCATGTATGCACATTAAAAAATAATAATAATAAAAAAATAAAAATAAATAAATTTATCGGCCAGAAAACTACATGCAAAATTCAACTGGCATGCTTTTGTAAAATGTGATACGCGCAAAAAGTGTGAAATACACAAAAAAATTGCGACGAGCTTCAGAACCTATGCAAATTCTAAAAAGTGATCCCTGAACTATGTTATTGGCAAGTGTAATCCTCATCCTACATTTCTTTGTTTTCAGTTCTCTTCTGTTCAATGCTTTTAGCTTGCAATCGTTCTTACCATCGAACTGCCTGGAAAAAGAGGCATAGAGCTTCAAAAAGCCAAACATCTGAGCTTGCTGTTACAGTACAAAATACAAATTTATTGACTTGCAATGGAAAATTATTCCACATTCTCTTATGGGTACTACATGCTAAAAGAACATATTTAACTGTCAAGGAAACTGTAGACTAACTAGCTTTAAAGTTGATGGCTGAGGACAACACTTGCCAATCACTCAGATTTGGAACAGCAGCTTGCATAGGTTGGGAACCTCCATTGCAATTTTCCTAAAAATATAACCAGAGATATTAAGCAACCCAGCCTGCAAAAGTTAATTGTAGAAAAAGTGCAATTTGACTATATTCTCAGATTTTAGACCCTGTTTGACAAATTTATAAATGGTTTGTAAAATAGGAATAACAGTGAGTCTCATGAAATGTATAGTTACGAATGTGTGGTTAAAATTATCTTTGACTTTGACTGAGTTAATAAACAAATTTATAAATTGATTCCAAATGGAGGCTTTTTTTTCCATATATGCATGTTCCAAGATGTTGGTAATTAGTGTTCAAACAGTGATTCAATGTGAAGAAGACGTATATGAAGACTATTGGCAGCACATAGTTCAATGAAAAATGTGTGGGGTCCAAAAATGATCAAGCATTAATTTCAACAAAAAGGCAGCAGTGAAAGGGCCTTATCCACTGATTCTATTCTGACCAAAGTATTATACTGTAAGAATTCTTGTACATAACAAAGAAGCTTAAAAACTCAAATAAAAACAAAAAAGAGAACAAAGATGCAAATGGTAGTGGGATTAAGAAAAATCTGCATGATACAAATAGACAAGCAATGCTGTCCTTCACCCATGGTTTCTTTATGAACTGTTGAAGGATTATATGCTATAAATTCAGAGGTCGAAAGTAACATCAAGAAGCATGTTTGATGTTTCCCATGAAAAGAGAAAAAAGATAACACAGAAAGCTTCATGTAATTCAAATAGAAGCATAAACCATATCCACTGAAGAACTGTGTAGCCCTACACACGTAAATCCTAAATTACATGCCAAACATGCTTCCCCTAGTTTATGTGAACGAGAAAATAACTTCCAAATTTGAAACCCCAATTAAAAAAAAGCTTTCCTGCTGGCTGCTGCTAAAGTACTTCTGTCCAGCCAACTACATGACACCAACCAAACATGGACCACCGTCCAAAGTTAAGAAAGTTATAAGGGCAGATCAAGTTGAGAAAATCCCAACTAAGACAATGTGTATACTTACATCCAACTTTAATCTGTCCCTAAAACTTGACACTTCAAAGCACTCGTCAAGAAGGGTTGACAGCTGGGGTGCAGAAAATGGTTACATAGATGATATTATCCAAATTCTAATTTACATATCTGCTCTGTAGATTTAGAATAAGGACAGAAATATAAATGCAATGTTATAAACATAAGTGCCTTAAGTAGAAGTTGCCTGCCTGAAATATACATGGACAATAAACAATCAAGAGGTGATTGCCAATAAATCTTTCCAAATAAGATGGTGAAATTCCAGCACAGTCAAATTTAGAAGGTGGGTAGTCCTCCAAGAGGTTCTCTGGTTCCTACAACTAAAGCATACGCATTTCCAGCAACTTAAACTTCTCTGGTTCCTAGAATTAAAGCATGCACTCTTCCAGTGTCAATGATGTAGAGAACAAACACATTTTCAGTAAGCCTCCTTCAGTTGACTTCATAACTGCCTTTTGTATTTTCACTTTATGGATATTTTGATAAATTCTCGCTATTCTATAAATAAGAGAACTTTAGGAATCAGCTTTAGTTTATAACATTCTATGAAACTTCGGAAATTCTAAAAGGCATAGAACTGATTCAGCAGTTAGTCTAAATAGTTCCCACATCGCAATCGAATAATTTGCCCTCTTGGATATACGTGCTCGAAGTCTATGTGAACTCGTGTGATACTTCGACTTAGATAAGAATTTAGTAATAGAGATTTAAGAAAAATTAAGTCTTGGATTTTG